AATGACGGAATTCGATGATATGAAGGCAATCCTGAGGCCAACTGGCCAGTGAAGTTTGGCCGTGATGGGGAAGACTGTGGACCTGAAGAATTATTGATTTTGGTATTTGTAATTGATATATAATTGTTTATTTGATATATAATCGTTTATTTGTATTTATGGATTATTGAATATTGTTTGTTATCGATCGTCATAGTTTGTTTGTATTTGTTTTTACGATTAACATGTATTTATTATTATTGTTTGTGCTTGTTTCTGTTTTTATTTGTTGAGGATGTATATTGTATAGTATGGTATAGAAAATTGTATAGCTTTTGCGAGGAGCTGTACAGTTTTTTTAGAAAATTGTATAGCTTTTTTTTTTTTCAAAACAAAATTGTATTGTTTTTTAAGAAGATTGTACAGTTTTCTTTTGAAAATAATGTAGGATTTTGTACAGCAAGCTGTAATAGTCTTGAGGTGATTAAACTTTTAGTTTATAAATTCCACTTTGTTTTTTTTGCGAACTGGCACACTGGACGTTTCTGCACCAGGCAAATGTTCCTTTTATTTTTTTTTATTTTATTTTTTTTTTTTGCAATTGTAAGCTTATTTATTTCTTGTAAATCGAAGGACCGAGTTTGGAGTTTCTTTTTTTTTGAGAGCCGTCAGGTAATTTAGGAAATTAGCCAGCAAAGTAATACCTCATTAGTGCAGGGACGGATGGGTTTCATGGAAATGAGCCGAGTTGCCGCTCTTTAGAAAATTACTGGTAGCTGAGGTTTGTGATTCTTGAGTGTAAGAGCAGTCCCTCTCTTCCGCACTTCCTGGCCCGTTGTTAGTAGGATATCCTTATCCTCCTGTCATGTTTTTTGCCACAGCTTGTTCATTTCTTCCAGCCTTTATCGTGGCGGGGACGGTGATACTCAGCATACACACACACACACACACATACACGCACATACACACATACGTGCACCCTCGCCAAGGATACTTAAAGCTGTTGAAGGCTTGCCAGCAGCTTTTATCGGGAGACCGTTGAGTTGGTAATCCATTCAGGAGTCGAAACGAACGTCAGAATCGCCAGCACGCTGACCATCGGCGATACAGCATTGATCAAAGCACTGGAAAAGCTAACAAATACACAGTTGGAGTGCCACACTATGAATTATCATCCGTTCCAGGTGCTCATTTAATTGCTTTACTATAGTGACCAGTGAAATATCACACATAACATTAAGTACCCGGGTGAGAACAGAAGGGGAGGGAGGTATCTTTTATTATGCGTTTTCTGCTGTGTGTATTGTCACAGGGTTGTCTGTGTTTGTGTGTGTGTCCCACATTTTGTCCCACACTTTCAACTCGGGAACCACAAAAGCTAAGCGGCTGAGATTTTGGTATAGTGTTCCCCGCCAGTGGGTGACGCGACAAATTTGAATTCAGCCTTCCCGTACTCGCGGGTAACTCGTACGGCCCCATGAAAAATTTTTTACGGGTAAATTAATATCTCAGGAACCATGGAGTCTAGGAGGCTGAGACTTTATGGGAATGACCCCCTGCCCACGCTCAACCTTGTCCATTCAAAGTCAGCGTTCCCGCGCTCTTGAGTATCACCTGCGGCCTCGTGAAAATTTTGACAGGTAAACTCGGGAATCACGGAAAGATATTACCTTTCAAGGTTTCGAATTCAGCTTTCATGCGCTGGTGCGTGAAATTTTTAACTGTTTTCCAATGTTTGTATTTTGCTATTTAGCTTTCATACGCTGGTGCGTGAAATTTTTAACTGTTTTCCAATGTTTGAACTATTTTTGCATAGACAAGGTACAAGAGTGAAAATCATTAATAGGTAATCGTTCGATGGGCTGAATTGCACAAAACGCATGATCGCACTCGCTAATCTGGTGCGCGTTGCTATTTATTTTATTTCAGCATTTTGCTCAACGGATTTTTGGCTTGTAATTGTTTTTGAAATAGTAAACATACTGCTTACCACCAGTTTCATCAGCGATGCTATCGAAGCCTCTGGATGATGCGCTGGCCGCTGAGGTATGTTATTTTTCGAATTTCCCTGATTTTTATGCGTTTTTGCGCCTTTGTGCAAATGCCTGAATACATGTTGGTGAAAGGTTTTCGTTGTGTATGACTGGGCTTTTGTTACCCACATTCAACTCTGCAACAACAGCCGGAATTTCGCAAAAATGCTATTTGATGATGTGCCATCCAAGCAGTTTAAAGTTGACGTTCACGTACTTCTGATTTTCATGTAGGGGCATTTAAAAGAATTCATACAATTTTTTGATGAGAAGGCGATTTCGGGAACCAGACAAGATTGAAAGCTAGAAGTTCACACGGATGTTTTGCGTGTTTGTTTAAGTTAAAGATTTCAAATTCAGCTTTAACGTACATTTAAATAATATGTACAGGCAGGCCAAATTTGAAATTTTGACACCGTTGGCAAAATGCCAACTCCGTTTTGATGTGATGGAAGAATTGATATCTCAGCAAATGCTAATGGAATTTGTGCTTCTGTGCCTAATTTTGCATCGATAATGTCAGCACCTTCAATAGGCCTTTAAAAAGCGTGTGCACTTAAGCAAAGTTTGTGCGAAACATATCATTGTATCTCCGAAAAGCATGCACAGTAGAGTAGCACTGTTGTCGAGCAATAGTTCAAAGATTCAGTTCTACCACTGGGACAACCTATCTTTCTATAATTCGTTTCGATGGTAAATTGGTACTGGCATAGTCCGCGAAGTCAAACCCGCTATCAGCTTGCTTGTAAGCAACCCTTAGAAGAGGGTAACATCGACATCCTTGCCAGCAGATGGTTCCTATTGACATTTGCTAGAACTCGAGCTACTTCCCGAGTACCTTGGCCTTTCAGCGAGAGCGAAAGTGGAGGGGATTTTCATAACAGTAAATATCGTGATACAGTGATAAATAGCACTGCTTTCGTAATGCAGGTCAGGGAGTTCCCGTCTTTCAAGCTGCTATAAAATCTTTTACCGATCTGTGGTCAGTAAGGTGCATCTGAGAGTAAAGCCTCATAAAATTTAGCCAGTTGACAAAATTAAGATTTATCCGGTTGAAGTTTTCTTGTTTTTTATGCAACAAATTTTTCAGTGCGCAGAATTGTCGATGCCAACCTGGTTCCAGGAACGACGACACACCGAGATGATAATGGGTCTGAAGGAGGAAATGCCGGACAGGCATCTCTGGTATGACTTTTTTTGCCCTCATACTTTTGTTAAACTGCCTCTCCGTATCGTTTTTTTCCCAAAATCATCCGTTCCTTTATGTTTCGCTGCACTGTTTTAGGCGTAATATATCAAAGGAACGAATGAAGACGGTCTCGGTGGCCCTTGTTCTGTGTCTTAACATTGGCGTTGATCCGCCCGATGTGCAACGACCGAATCCATGTGCCCGCACCGAGTGCTGGGTTGACCCGGTTGGTTTGAATCCACAAAAAGCAATGGCGAAAATTTCGCTGGCCCTGCAAAAAGGTTACGAACGATGGCAGCCAAGAGCAAGGTTATCATTTGAGGATAATTATTTACGGCAACTCTAAATTATCTCAAAATAATTTACCATGGAAATGTTATATCTTTGGTTCTCTGGCGGCGTCCATGCCTAGCAGAATGTAGAAAATTGGAAGTTTTCTAAAAATTTTCCGATTTTTTGGAACTTTTAATACTAAAATAAGGTTAACCAACGCTGAAATTGAAATTGTTGGGGATAAAGTAATTGATTAGATCACTTGGTACGACACAGCTTTAAGCAAGAAAAATGAATAAATAGCAATGCACACTAGATTAGCCGGTGCGATCATGCGTTTTGTGCAATTCAGCCCATCGAACGACTGCCTATTAATGATTTTCACTGCTTTGAACTTTTGTCTACGCAAAAATAGTACAAACGTTGGAAAACAGTTAAAAATTTCACGCACCAGCGCATGAAAGCTGAATTCGAAACCTTTGAGAGTGAATATCTTTATCCCGAGTTAATAGTTTACCCGCCAAAATTTTCACGAAGCCGTAGGTGATACT